CTGATAGTGCATATCAACGGATGAAAGATTGGTTGATAGAAAGAATTAGCGGTTTAGACACGTGTAAGGACGGTTTTTGAGACATACCGGTAGTTTTGAGGTGTAATAGTAGGTCGCCTCCATTCCGAAAAACTTGTACTGGGAGACCCACTAATCGGAGACGTATTCGCCTCCGTTGAGCTATTAAACCGAGGTTGATCTCGTCCAAATTGAAAGTTAGGATTTGTATCATAGGAAGCGGTAGAAGGGCCATCTAGAGAACATCAGCCAGGTCTTTACAGGCTGGAGAGGAGCAAAGTTTTACAATATGGTGTCCGTGTTTCGAATCTTGAATTGTCGTCATGAGGGGCATAGTACGGGGCATTGTTTGGAGGCCCACGGCTTAGCGGATCGGGAGCATGCTCAAGTCGAATGGGCTCAGCAGGCACACCGTGGCTTCCCAAAGAATTGGGGAAAGGGGAGCCTGGCAATTGTCTTCCATATGATCGTATTTGGTTCGTGTACTCATCTTCGTGAGTATAAGTATTGTGAGACGAACGTATCGGGATCGGTCGTGGTCCTGAAGAGGGTTGTGAAACTCTTGGATCGTTGTTGAATGGAGTTCCGCGTGAACCTGAAGGCTGGTATTATATGAGTCTCCTCTCCACCGCGATTCTGAGCATAACAGCGAAAGCCGTGTACGACGCCCAAGTATGGCGCCTTGCCACAGACTGCTCATAGCTTATTGGACACTCACTGATCCCTCCAGTTTCCTTCCGTTGTTACCGCTCATTTTGATCGAGTCAATATGATGAAGGAATTGAGCGAGTGGCTGCGTCGATCTTGACCAAAGAGATGGTTAAGTTGAAAGGTGCGGAGGCCAATTCAGAAATAGTAATTTGACCAAAAGTGAATGGTCTTGAGCGTCAAGTGGCAAGCAAACAGCACCCCGTTCTGTCCAGACGCAGGGTCTATAAGATTTTCTCTGGTGATAGAAATTATCCTCCCGGATAGGCTTTAGGCTGACGGAGGTCTGTGGCGTTGTTGAGTTGGGCCGCGTCGAGCGTTCAAATCAAGGTACCATTGTACCGAACAAAGCATGCTAAAATTCAATAGAAAGTTTGTGAGGCGACGATGAGCACGGTGCACTTTGTCTCGTGCTACGCCGAATTTTCCCAAATCGGTTCGGCGGACATTTGAAGAAGTTCCGTCCAGGCCGATTGTGTATCTCGATTCCATCACATGTTCCCCGCCATGAAGCCTAAATTGTAGGACTACGGGTCAGCCTGAAGGGAGGATCTTTTGACCGGAATAAATATGTATATGTTAGGGCGGTCTGCAAAAACTTTGAACCCTTCTATAACCTTCTCAAACTGGGTCCTCGACCACTGGGTTATAAGCGAGACGACTAAATCGAAAAATTGCTATAGGCTCCCTAGGCCTGCATCTGAATGTTCCTTTCTAGGTGGAAAGAGGTCTCAATCCCAAGAAGACTACCTCATTTCCATGTTGTTGAGGGATTCCCTTGAGAATCGGCAGTAGTAGCGTTATCAGTCTGATCAGAGATGAGCATGGACAAAAGGAAGATTGTGTTTGGGGGCAAGTCGGCTTTGGAGTCACCCAAGAGAGCACTATAGGGTTTTCTATTCACTGAATTCAGAAGATTGGGCGTCGGGTACCCCTCCGTTTGTGAGGGTACACCCGTGGGGGGTCCACTCTTGTGCGAAAGTCATGTCGGGATGCTCTGCATATTATTAACATTGGTCTGCTTCACTATGGAAGCAGCGAGGTCGATTATTAATGGGCGTTGAGATGAAGACAAGGGAAGGCGTCTACAGGCACGATTGGAATCAGTGTGACAACAGCGCATTGACTCCTCGGAGCCGGGGGCAGATGCACGGCATCTCGGTGAGTGGGTACACTTGGCCGGATTTTCACCAGTACGTACAGCTTTGTGGGATTTCCGTGGCGAGAAGCCCGCGAGTAGCATCGAATGGCCAACCCCTCGATTTCTTCACGGAGGTATCATCAAACGGTAACTATTCCAGCGTTTATAAACGATAATTGCGGTAGGCGCCTCGGCCTAATACTGCGTCATGTGAGCAATCCAAGAGCAGAGTACCCTTCCGACGGCAGCAGCACAATTCGTCAAATCGATCCCGTTCGTTCTGATTCTATACCGTTACTTGGAAGCGGTGAAGTTCGTGTAAAGGGGGTTTAAGTTACACAGTAGGTGAGTTTTAAGCCATCCATTTGGTACTCGCCTACGTTGGATATATCCCCTTCTAACAAGTTTCTACGCCATTTCCCGGATCTTCTGGAATATTTTTCTGTTTCATTTTCAATTTGAAACTAGAGAGATGGTGTGGCCAATGAATAGAAGGTGGAGAAAGAGGACAAAGACCTTCGTCTCTACTCCATTGTTCAAGTTTGGGCTGGACATCATACCGATACCTGCCGCGCCCGCCACTCATGAAATGGCATTTGAAACTGGACGACACATTCATGTTATTCATTCGATCATAGGCCAGGTGGAGGTACAGTAGATGGCACAGCATCAACGAGTTCCAAGATGATACCGTCAGAAGCGTTTGTTCGGACCGTTGCCATACTGTCAACACGCTACTATAGCTTTTCGTTTGCTAATATGATATCTTTTCCTGTCTCCTCGTCCGAAATCTAAAATTTCACGACCAGGGTCGCCGTCGATCGCCAGATCCCACTCCAACAAACAGGGATACCAGGCCAGTCTATACTCCAATATGTGACACAATATGGTATCCATCCAGTACTGCCTCGACCGTTTAGGGTAGCTTCCTTTCTTGTTTCGACATGCCCATGAAGACCTGGAAGGTGCTAACTACTTTATGCCTTCCCCTATAGTCTCGAACGACAAATATATAGTAACTGTCAAAGCCACTTGTCACTATAATTGGTTTCTTGGGGATTTCCAATTGTATTCTTGTGGCAAAAACTACAGCTCCAACAATCCGACCAGTCAAAAGGTTACGCCTCGACCTGTTCAGTAAATGCATAACGTAAATCCCGGCTCAAACTCTCTCATTTGTAATATTTCGACAGTCGAAAAACTATGACTGTGGACGATTGGATGATTCTCGAGAGCCAGGCAGATCCCTATACAATCCAGTGTGTCTGCCCATCCCCTTCCACTTGATGACGTTGATGCTCAACAAAACCTTGCCACAGTTTGCACAGGCGGAATGTTCCTATGTTCGCTAACACTCGTGGAAAATCCTGGTCGTTCGGCTAATGTCGCTAACGTGCTGCGTTCACGACTCAGATAGAACAGTTAGCCATCAAATGGTGTCGTACCATACTCACGAACGCCCCGAGAGGACGCCTCCGCTCTGGATCGGAGAACAATTTATCCTCGGTCAACAATGGGTTTCGATATTCTGACCTAGACCTGTGCGTCTCCTACTTTCTGTTCGCTACTCCAGTCGCTAATTGAACGAAGGCCCATCATATCATTCTTTTGATCCCTTATATTAATTCAATACAATAGCTTTATCAAAATACGTCTATTATTGTGCGTCCTCGTATATAGTCCCGGCCCGGCTGCACCATGCGGGTGCCTGAGGGAGAATGGCTATACCATAACTTGGGGAGTTTTGACTGTTCTCGGAGCTACCTTTCTAAGAGACACCGAGCGGATTTCTTCAGGAAGTTTAACACTGGTTTCCACTTCAGGTAGGAGTCTATGACAAGCCCAGAGAGTGCCATTCTCCATGCCAGGCAATTGCGAATCCCTCGGTAAATGGGATTACGTTAAAGATGCTGTACTGATATTCCTCAGATTCCCTCATAAAAGGGCCTCATTAATCGTCGCATTTCCCTTCCTAGACCCAAGTCTCTACCCTTCGCGTTGTATGCTACCCCGACTAATTGTGTATAAGGGTCAGCGATGGCTTCTCCACGCGAAAATGTAGCAGAAAACCCTGGTTCCTCTTTGCCTGATCATGAGACTACGTTGTCATTGACGACACAGAGGGAGAATGGCAACCTGCAGGAGGTACCTTTCCCAGGCACAAGTCATTGTCTTCGCGGGAGCCAAAGGTCGAGATTTATCAATAGACTGTATTTTATAATCTAATCGTGATATAAGGTATCGAGCAGGGCGTGCGCCCAATGGTTTAGGCTCATCGTTCTTCGGCCACCTGGACATCACTCCACAAACACTGCCCGTCGTTTCAAACACAAATCCTACTGCACCACATCCGGGCTCTGGTGAGAATATTGGATCGTTATGTTGACAAAACTGAGCTTAAACTAAGTTTATCCCATAGATGTCAGCACCAGGGCCTTTGGAAATCCATATCAAGACATCCAAAACGGCTCGGGGATCGCGTCCTCCTCTCATTGTGTTCATATCGCCGCGCCCACCGAGCTCATCTCGCCAATCCCTCGATTGCCGCCCAAACCATTCTCTCAGGCTTGGCTGAACCCTCCAGATGATTCAACACCCG